TAAAGAAAGTTGAAACACATATGACAAATACCACAGTCTTCTTATTTTCACAAGATTGGTACAAGTTAGCATTCAGAGGCTCCCAAGAAAGGTACAGTGTCCGGATGTAGAATGTGCTTGTTATTGCAAGACGTGATACACATTGAAATTTAAGGTCTGCAAGATATGGTGTTCGTTTCGTTTATACATCATGTGGAAATGACTTTAATAACCCAAATTGCATCTGGTATACTGCTTTCCCACTTATATACATAAAATGTATGTATTTCAATGCTTTTTGTATAGTTGTTTCTTTATATAAATAAGAGTGCATATAAATATTTTCAATTCGTCATCATTACAATATAAAGGTTACGGCAACTGCGAGTCTGAAATAGTTCCAAGCGTTTTACGCGACAAAGAACAGAAAGTAATTATATTTAATTCGTTCATCATAATTAAAATTTTATTATTTGAGCTTTTAGGAAAGGGCGAAAATTTGAATATGCATAGTGGTAAAATAGATTGACGTAAATAAATCTAAATGTGTATGCCAAATAAAATGTCATGAATTTTATGATAAAAAAGGCCACCAATAACATATTCTTTTAACTTGCTTTTACTTCGGCTTACGTCATATTCAAGATCAGTAATGAAGCAAACAAATGACGTGACTCAATAATAGTTGGGTTACGTTTTGATTAGGAAAAATTACATTAATGCGCATTTTAAAGTAATTTTTGATTTTATTTAACAATTAAGATAAGAGCTTAGTACTTTTTTTTGTCATATAAAATTCTGAAATTTTCTATAGAAGTATATAAATATGTAAATAGAAAAAAAAAAAAGAAAACAATATTTAAATTATACATGAACAATATTGTTTAAACAGCAGAAAATAACAGTTTTGTATTCATTCATTTCATATACAATGTGTATGTCTGAAAAATGAATAAAAATAAATCTTTGTTACAAATTATTGTTTTACGTGTCAGTTAATAAAGATAAAAATCGATAATTTTGTATGAAAAAAATTAGTAAGTATATAGGTTAAGGTTAAGAACGCGACCAATTTAAATTTGTAAAAATGTACTTTTAAAATTTAATCTGCTTAGTGTTTTAAATTATTTTTTTAAACAGGTGATTTACTAGACTGATTAACAGTCGATTTACTGCTTGCCGATTTACCAAAGTAAAGTGTTACGATTCATTTGAAATACTGCAATCATATTACACAAAAAATAATTTCAAACACTACTCAAAGTATAACAGAGATTAGGGTTACAATTTTATAATAATGTCTCAAATGTCAAGTTTACCATGCCTTCATTTTGTTTTTGTTATAACTTAACACTGTATATTGAGAGAATCTTGTGTGATACTAAATCTACTTTCATGTAGTACAAATATTTATATCGCTATATTAGCATAATATGGTAATAATGTTATAAATACCCAATGTACAACAAAGACCTGTCTGCATAAATTAAATATTATCACTAAACCAGACGTCCCTTGTTAGTTTATATAATACCAGTCTTTCATATAAAGCACACATTATGCCTAAAAAAAGATTACATTTTAATTCTTTAGATATTGTTTTGTAATGTTTGATAATTATTTGATAACATATTCGATGTTTATCAATTTAAGACTGTAGCGCTGAACCAACAGTTATGTGTCGTAGAGGTAGCAACATGTAAACAAAGTAGTAATTTGACTTCCCTATAATCACCCAATGCCAACTGAGCAATAAGTTTTTCTTTTCTTTTCTTTTTTCTTTTTTTCTTTATTATTTTCTGTTTTTTTCTTTTTGAAACTGATACAAGATAGAATAATAAAATCTTTTTGAGTAATAAAACGCATTTCTGGGGGATATCAATAATGATAATAATAGATGAAAACCGTTATTTAATTAATATTAGACATTCAAAAATTGTTTATGTTTTTTTTCTAATCAAATAACATTCAACCGATCTTTTTGAATTATCTTTAACCGCTTTCTTTTAAATAAGAATAGTACATTGTTTATGTGTTTTTAAAATCTTATAACATTCAATCGTTCTTTTTTTAATTAACATTAATACTTTTCTTTTTAATAAGAAGAGTAAATTGATTCTTTTAACATTTTAAAATAATCAATGATATGTATAACATTTTGAATACTTATATCACTTAAATGTTATGTTTGGAAAAGGCCATATAAGCATTTAAGGCTTTCAGATCTGATCCTTTTTCAGCATTGTACTGTGTTACTAGTATTTGTTATTGTATGTAAATGTTGTAAAATGTTTGAGTAAAACTGATTATGTAATGGTCGAATAAATCATACGATACCTGTTTTCATATCAATGTTGTAAAATTATTCAAATTGAAAATGTTACAGGCTCAATTTAATCGAATTTGTTTATGGATAATACAGGAAACCGTCCATGTCCTTACACCCTAGCACCGGCTGAAGCATAATTAAACATTTAATCATAGAACTTAAATATATAAGAGATTTATAACGTCTGCAAATGTATAAATACGGCGATCATCAATGAACCTCAAATTTGACATTTTTATAATTTATCTAGGCTCTAATCGAGAAAAAAAACAATCACTGGAAATGAAAAATTAATTGAAGGTGGTGTGCAAATTTTGAGCATTTTTATTTTTTCATGAGACAGTTGTCAAAAGAGAATTTTGATAATCAAGCAACATACCATAGAAGAGGAGACAAACTGTTAAAGAAAACCAAACATCTAAGCATAAAATCATTGTTATTTCATGGTAATTGTGTTCACTTCAAAAGTCTTCAATCTATGAGTATGATCTTTATTTAGAGTAATGTGTGTCTGATGATCCAACAAGAGCTGTCGATAACAGCTTGCTCGACTATTCTAAGTGCTTGATAGTAAAACAAAAGCCTGGGTGATGTAGACTGTTCCGAGTTTAATCAGAGCCATAATATTGTCAAAATCAATGTTATGAACCTTTGACAGTGACCTCCGATCTGCTCTCAAATAAGTCTGTGAAGTTTCATCCAATTTCATTCAGCACTTTTAAAATTTGGACATACCAACTTGCACGCAAATATTTACCCCAAAAGAGTGACGCCGACTTCTTGGGGAGTACAATAGTAATGGTACCATTGCAAAGTTATGGTAGACCAGAACATTTACGGTGATCAGAAAAATTAAAATAGTAAAATAAAGTCAGAATCACGATAAAACTAGAAATGTGTCCATAGGACACGGATGCCCCCACACGCCACTGTTCTGTCAATCTTATGACTCTAGGTCAAATATTTTTTGGACAACATGTGCCACAAGTTGAAAACTAAAAATCAACAAAGGGCCATAATTCTGTTAAAATTTGGTCGCAGCAAAAATTCCTTCCTTCTACACATTAAGGTTATTCCCTGGAAGTTTCAGCAAAATCTGCCATCCAGTTTAAGAGGAGTTGCGTTCACAAAATTTCTACATGGTATATAATGAAAAAATCAACAAAGGGCCATAATTCTCTTAAATTTGGTTGCAGCGGAAATTCCTTCCTTAACTACCATCTACACATTAAGGTTGTTCATCCCTGTAAGTTTAAGCAAAATCTGCCTTCCGGTTTAAGAGGAGTTGCGTTCACAAGATTTCGGGACGTACGGACTGACTGACCGTAGGACGGACAAGTGCAACGCTATATGCTCCCACATTGTGGGGGCATAAAAATTAGCAAATTCTTCGTAATCAAATTTGTTGCAAGACATGCTACCACCAGGGCTCCGTAGCACCGTTATAAAAGGAGCTCATTTAATCAAATGTAATAATATAATGTTTACGAAAAGTCCTCACAATTGATCAAATTGCGCCTTGACGAACCATTTTTCAAAACAGATAACCTCAGAATGCCAACGGAGTTATCTAAAAAAAATATTTGATTTGATAATGTTCTCGACCTTATGATCTGATACTGGTCTAAAGTCCATTCGAAAATTAAAACTTAAATAGCTGTGGGTTAAAATATTGACTTTGAGGGGAAATTCAGGCCATAGTAGTTTTAATAAGACCATTTAAGATTACAAACAGTAAAGTTAAGTAGGACACAAGTCTCGTGTGCTCTTCATTCATTTGTTCGCCTTACTAGTCAATCATTGGATACTGGAAGTTAGTTATTTCAATGGCACTCGATATTTGCAGAAGAGATTGATAAGTTAGTCTACTAAGATAAAAGTCACCACGATCAAACGGGGTAAGTATAAGTGCACGGTGACAAGGTTTAATTTGACATATAAGACAATGTCAGTAACCAGGTCAGAAAGTCATGTTACATTTCTTTTAACAAATTAGTGTACTAGCTAGTATTTACCAATCACTATCTCAACAAATGGTGAGTGTGCATAATGTGTATGCCTTTATTATCATCGGTGTTGGACTTATCAGGTATGCTATCTGCGTTTCCGGTTTCAGATAGACTACCGGAGGACACAAGGTCAGCAAAGCAAGTTAAACTGCTTATGACCTAGGATCTAAAGTCCGATTAATAAATTAATATCATCAATTTTCTTTATAAGTGACATAATTATACAGTAGTGGAACCGGAATATTTGTAAAGATACCGGAATATTAACAGGGGTTCATGGCGACGCACATATTAGTTTACACATATTTGCGCAAAAGTCGCACACCAAAATATATGTACATTTAACTTATAAGCAAAATAAACAGATATTTATGTTTTAAAAATTCGGGGGGGGGGGGGGGGTTGCCAAAGCCGCCGAAACACGCTTATATAAGGGAAAATGTTAAAGCAATTTACAATTATCATTTAAGTAGATTTGGAACAAAAATTCATTTAAGATATAGATCTGAAACAAATGAAAACAACTTGATGCATGATTATTAGTTTAAAAACTATTTATTTCATTAATTACTTACACATACATTTATACAAACAAATCACTCTACAATCAAAAACAGAATTTAGATGGAAGTAAATCTCTCTTCTGATTTTTTTCAATTTCTCTCCACGACAATTATTGAATGATCCTTTTTCGAAGACTGAAGGAAAGAGCCGACCGAAACAATATTTTTATAAATAGATTAAGAGCATCAGCAACAGTATCTACCTCAGTCATATAATAACAAAATAAAGGTGATGTCTCCATGTCCCTCGGTGGAAATATTATTAATAACTGAAATAACTTGAACTACCAGAAACACAACAAGATTGTCATTATCGTGATGAGTTTTCAAGTATCGGAAATATAACACCTCTGACTGAATGTAAGAGTAGACACTGCTGTCAATCAAAATTGATATTTAGAGCATCGAGAGATTTCTCTATCATATTATCAATCTTCAACTGGAGATATGGTGCTATAACGTCTCTCCAACTTTCGGCTTTTCCTATGGAAAAAATAAATAATGAAACTGTGATACGTATATCACAAAAACAAAACCTCGAAAAAGAGCTAGTAAAAATATTCATAGACCATTACAATTTCTGTCAGATACTGTTAATCGTAGCACTGAGCAGTGATTGACTTATATTATTTCGTAAAAGTTTTTGTTGTTTTTTTTGTTTTGATAACACAACACAAAAAGTATCTTAACTTTTTAATTGATTAAGAACTAGTGCAGCAAATCTACCTGAATTAATGAAAGCCCCAGCAGATTTATCTGTACTCCATACTTCTTCCTGTACGGCAAAATTCACCATTCCGTTTTTTCTCATATTTTCAATATCAACATACTCAACTATCTTAGCTATGTCGTCTGCAGACAAGTCACGATTCAAGAATGAAGCTATTTTTCGAACTTCTGAAACTTTGTCCTAGAGAAATTAGAAAAATATATCCAGGGTAACTTAATGAAATATAGGTGTCTATGGATAACCAAAAATCATTTGCCCTTGCCATGCTCACGGCTTTGGCGTCTAATCCAGCCAGGGACTTGGGAGTATTTGAATAGGCTAAGAAGCTAACTATGTAAGGACGATCTGCGGTTCTCCTATAATGTCTGAAATATTGCACAGAATGACACGTATTGATAGTTTCCGAGAAAGTTGACTGTAACCTACTTGGTCGCCATATGGCTATTGCAGAGTCGATCTGACATGAAAATAAAACAAATAGATAGCTTGAAACAAACAAAATCAAATGTACGTACTTTCAATAAATATGCTCTTTACTTCCTTACACATAATACGCTTTAGAATTTGATGTTAATGCCTTTGAAATCCTGAAATTACAATATACGGTAGTTGTCTTTTCTAGCTAGGATGGACGAGTTGGTCTAGTTCCGTAGAAATGTTGCTTTAAAATATTTATAGATATCGCACACAGCTATTTTGATTTTGATGGCAAATAAAACTAAAACATCTCTGTCTGAGAAGTATACTTGTTTTAAAATCTAGGTTTGTCTCAAAATCAGTCTACCTTTATAATATCTTCATACTTGAGAATAAGAACGTTTTCATCATTTTTGTGCTCCTGGAACTCGCGTACATGAGCTGCCCATGGACTGCCGTATACTTAAAAAAACAATAACAAAAAAAAAACATAAAACAAGACAACATGCTTCGAGAGCTGGTAATAATAAAGATAATACGAGAATTATCAGCAATCTATTTTTAGAATCTTATTTATAGCATTTCGAGCACAGGATTATAAGATGCAAAAAAATGTAATCCACACTCATTTTGTTTAATCAAAGTACTTGTAATGACTTTTATTTTTCAATGTAACAATTGGTACGAATGACACAGATAATGTGCTCAATTAAATAAATAAAAAATATAATTAAAAAATACAAAAACACATGTGACCGAAGGTGAATTTCATTTAAAAGAAGTGTATCTGCAGGTGCCATTAGAAGTGTTTGTTCATATACATATAGATGAACCGTTGCGTCGATTTCGTTTCAAAACATGCATCCAATTTGTATCCGAGACTTCCAACTTTTGCACTGATGTCATTTTCCTAAAAAGGGCTTCGTAATAGCAGAACATATAATATATTATAACTGCCTTTATGTAGCAACATTCAACAAAAGCAAGAAAATCAAGACATTTTGTCAATACCTTTATCATTGACAAACATTTCAATAAATTCTTCTAACGTATCTGCCATTGGTGTCCGCAGGAACTTCAAAAGTTTGAATAAACTCACTACCACAGCTTTTGGATTTCTATATACATTTATGATTTTTCCACAGCCTCGTTTTAAATCTTCCGGAAGCAGGAAATAGTGGAAATGTGTTTTGATCAGTCTTGGGATTTTCGCCTCTTTTAATCCAGTTAGTCCTTTAGTAAGATAGATGAAATACATTGAAGTCATTTTTGTTCGTTACACGATGTCCGTTCCTGTATAGAGGATATTCAATGAGTGTAAGTTCAATACTGAATTTATTGCACGAGTTGAATAAAATTATATTATGCGAGCCTCTGGCGAGCATAATATTATTTTATTCAACGAGTGCAATAAATTCAGTAATAACTTACATGAATTTAATATTCTATTTATCACAAACCCAAAATAAAGACCGTTTAAAGTGAAATAATAGTCATTTTTCATTGACGCGCCTATAGTACAACGCTAACATTTAGCGCGTCGTTACACTATGTTTGTATAACGTTAATGACGTCACGTCAAAATATATGCACGGCCGTGCAATACCATATTTACAGAGTCGCAAAATCGGCATGGGTGTGTGATAAAGTAAAATAATATACAATGTAAGCATTTTCTCTGTTAATGGAAAACGCGTTACCGTCTATAAGGACTTTTCATATATGTTGAGAATTAAATTATATTTTGTCTGTAGTGTCAACAAATTGCTTCTGGCACTCTAAATTATTAGTCATCTGCTTTATTTGTAAATTAATTCTAATTAGGAAAAGAAACAGTCACAGCATATTCTTCACATGTTCTATTAATCAAGGCATTATACGTAGTAATTAATATATACTTAGTTACTCCAAAGCCTTCCCACCATGCAAATTATAACCCACCAAAAGGTTACACCATTTTTGGCAAATTAAAGATCATTATAACTTTATTATGTATTTTTGTTCAATCGTATTACATTTATATCACATACAAAACATCAATTGAATATATGCCAATTGCTACACACTGGAAATTAAATAAGGTCAATAGCAAAAGATACATTTCTTAAATATCATTACAGTATCTTGATCTGAAACTTTTTTATGCTAGAGGAGATTTTACTTACCAAGTCCTTTCTAGAAATGTCAATAAGAGCCCAATGCAGATCATACCTTATAAAGGGGATTTTTTGTAATTTACACTCGTATTTACCAATGCCGTTAAATGCATAAAATTTAATAAATTACATGCATATAATAGATTAAGTTCAATGTTGATTATGTAGTTTAAATGACCATCAAAAGTGTAAATGCGTAACTTTCAAACGTTAAATGAATATGAGTTCATTACCTTTGTAAAATGGTAGATCTTCATTGTAAACGTCCGCGAAAGGAAACCTCTCATCTAGCGGCTTTGTTATAGCTCCGTCAAAATCTAGCGTCTCTACAAGGTATACAATCTCTTGAACTAGAGTTGTGCCTGAAACGACAGCAAAACTTTAAATGGGTATCCTCCACTCAAGTGTCTGTGCTACGAGTTGATTGTTTATTTGTTTAATTGGGTTTTACGTCACACCGGCACAGTATAGGCCATATGACGACGTTCCAGCTTTACTGGTGGATAAAGACCTGAGGTGCCCTTTCGTGCATTATTTCAGGCATGATCGGGCACCTGTGTAGAACACCGACGTGTCGTAAGCTAGCTGGATACTACTACGATTTTAGATTTTGTGGTATATATATATATATATATATATATATACACGGGCAATATAGAAGCGAGATCCTGGACAATCGCAAAAATATCTCAGAATCAAGCTTGAGACGTCAAAATACTTTGTCTACGCTAACGTCCTGACACAGTATTCCTATACTACGACATCAATAACAAATGATCAGCCTCCATTAGAACTAAACTTTTTTGTAAATAAATAAATGAACCATTTCTACAATGGTTTGTCAAAATGCAAACAAAATATCATAAATGAAAAACTTACCCGATCTAGGGAAACTACAAACCCACACATCAGATGGCCTCCCTTTAAATGAAGTAAAGATCTCCGGTTGTGAATTATCCCACATCCAAACTCCTTTAAACTGAATGAAAGATTTGTTAAGACCAAGTGCCGAAACTCCCTTGTTTTCTTTCGCCATTATTTTGGTCACATAATATATTTGTATACTGATAACCGAGTCAATGAACCTTTGGGTAGGTGTTCCTACGTGTGAAACTATACAGTTGTGTTATCGTAGCTGAAAATATAAAATGTATAGTCACGCTATATATAACCTTTATAAATTAAGAACATAGAGTAGATCCGCTAGAAAGTAGATAATATATAGATGACTGATGTATTATAACTGAAGGATGGACATCAGAAAAAAAGAATGAAATTAAAAAACCACGACAAGAAAGACGTTAATTAATCTGCAAGAACGAGTTAATTTAGTTAGGCAATTCCGAAGGAAAATTGATCAGGTGACAGTGATGGTCGCCAATATTGTCAGATTATGTTGGTTCTTTTCTGCTTCCCGTGCATATCTGGTTTGTGGTTTGGGCATCTTTGAAAAACAACGTATTTTGCCGTCAGTTTGTAATTGAAATAAGATGCTTAACGGAACACAATGAGGTCCAAAAGAGAATTTGATTTTATTACGTTGATCAGAATGATATTCATAAAGCGCATGCAAAAAGATTATCGTATTTTTGTACTATTCTTAACTGGATTTGAGTGAAAAGCGTGCACAAAGCGTTTGCACAACGCGTTTATCAATTTCCAGTCCTTTTTTAATACAATTATAATAATAATTCTCCTGGAAAAACAGTGTGAGCGAATGATCTGAAATTTTGCAAGCAATTTATTGGTCTAGATCTAAATCAAATGGAACATTAATCTAAAGAAAAAATCCAGTCCCCTCTTGTCAAAAACTGTGGAGTAATATATGTGGCTTACGTTACAATAACAATCTATACACATGAATGTTTTGTAACTATTATAAATGCATCTTATGTTCGAATTTAATTTATTTTATATATACCGATGTATTTTATTTACTTATTTTCAAATAAAACAAAAAAGGCTTGGTACTTTGTTAAAATATCCCCATATTTTAATGTAAAACCAGTTAAAGTCAACATGCAAGCAATAAAAAACGTTCATTAATTAATAAAAAAAAATAAGAATTATGTAGTTACTGACTCATTAAGCTACAAAAGTAAGGTAACGTTATATACACAAACGATCTTGTTGTTTTTAAAACAAGAAAGACTCCCTGTACATGATATGCCCATAACTGACTCCTTAATTAATTTCGACTGAAAAATCAAACACAACTGAATTTTAGAAACTATTGAAATATCAAATAAAATAGAAACTGCTGATATATCAAATTACGATTAAATAGACTGAAATATTAAATACAACACAAAAGACTGAATAATCATTTACCATTGAAAAAAGACTGAACTAAATACAACGGAAAATACTGAAATGTTAAATATAACAGAACAATTGAAGAAGCAAATACAAAGTTAATGAAAAAAATGAAATATACAAAAACAAACAAGACTCAAATATTATGAATACAACAGAACAGACTAAAATATCAAATTTTAAACACAACAGAATAAAAACTGAAATATCCAATACAAAAGAAGAGGGAAATATTAAATACAGCAGAAAAGACTAAAATATTTTTTTAAAAAAAACTTGACAAAAATAATAAGAATAAAATAGGAAACAAAACTAATTGTACTGCAGTACCAAGTTATATTTCCTCCTAAATTTTAATTATTCTCTGGCTCAGATAACAGGAACTTAAAATTCTATCAAATGACCAATACTAACAATAATATGCAAAAATTAATACTCCCTATAAAGTATATTAAATAAAATTATTTCTGTGCTCAGAGGGCATTTACCTTTTTGTGTAAATGGAAATTAATATGAACAAAAGGATGAAACGTATTTATAAATGTCCAAAGTCATGAATTGTGGTGTTATTCAAACCTGGAACATAATTTCTTACTTAAATTAAGTCGCGGCCAGAACAGATGCATTTAAATCTAATTAAATTTTTAATGTGCTTGGTGTTCTATTCATGATCAGAATTACTCACAAGCTTTCCAAACATTACATAAATGAAAAAAGTGTTCGGAAGCTACTAACTTACTCTGTAACATATGCAACATGATATATTAAATTACATAAATAAGACATATGTTTGCATAGTTGCTTGCAAATGGCGCTAATATTTTACAAGGTAAATTACCATGTGAAGACACGGCTACTGTATGTAATTTGATTCTAAACAGTTATCAGTATGTAACTTTGTTTCATAAAATATTCAGGAATACAAGGCAATGCACAATATCAAAAGATAGTAGTCAGTCAAACCGAAGATCCGTAACGGCATATATATTCCGGTATGGAACGATATAATACGGCGTTTAGTCTATGCCAATATGTCAGCCTCCATGCTTTGTAATTTCAGCTAAATTTCAGCTCAGATATTTACAACTTTATCATGTCGACCATGAAGAGATATCCGGTTCTTCCTGTTGTAATTGAAGAAGACCATCACGATGTAATGTTATTTTCAGTTGTCATGTTATTATAGGATGATATTTCACACGCTTTATATATCGATACTGCTGTTGTAATAGACCCCTATTGAAGCTCAGGGGTGAGACACTGGACCTCACCTTGTCTCAATATCGACTGCCGATTTTACAAAATGGTATTACATAGTTGTCGGTCTTGAAGGGCATCCATGGTATATATAATGTGCAAATTGTTGGGTTTGACATCACCTTTCAATTGCTGATCATCCCTTGACAACACTCACTGTAACACAAATGTGAAATTTTTTTCAATCACAAAACGTGTTTAAATTCGAATTTCAATATGAAGTTAAAATATCCAATTTTCATGCAAGTACTGGTGAGATATTTACAGATTCAAAACATGTTAACAGCCAAGCAATGGATAGAATGTTCTGCACTCTGATATCTTTTCACATTCATAGCCAGGTTGCATATGCTTGACACTGTCTTGAGAGTAAAATTTGATGTACATTGTAGCTTATTCCAATGATCCCAAAGGTAAAGTACCAACACCTACACTGTCTGGGTGCCAACTCTATCAATGCATGATGGAATGCCAGGAACATACTGCATGTTCCTTGGACAAAAGTCTATCTGCTAGGGGTCACTTAGTGTACATGAATTTTTGGAGTAAACATGTCTTAAAAGTCTCCTCAGATATTCCAATGCCCAGAGCCTAGATATCTGATGTAGAATTACATTCTGGCCCTTCACAAAAGTTATATAAATCATACCCTGGGGTCAAAATTGGTCTTGCGCAAGTTTCACTTAGTATATAATCGACCTAAATCTAGTGGAAAACTAAAATGCCTATTGAGCTTAGATATTTGGCATGTAGCAACCTAAGGTCTTCCTCCACCAGTGCAGCTGGAAAGTCACCATATGACCTTTAATACAGTGTTGGTGCAATGTAAAACCCAATAAAAAACAAAACAAAAAAAGATAAGCACGAGGGCAAACATAATATTTTTAATTTCAGTTCTTTGTTTTCAACGGTTTTGATATCTATCATGATATGAGCAAACATTTTACTCGATACAGTTTATACTCTTTAAAGTGGTATAATGACATTTTCCTATTTTTGTTCAAATCACTGTCTTTTATATGGAACCTTTCTTTCATCTGCCTTGCATATTGCATATGTGCTGAATATAGATGAAATTAAGATCATAATGATGTGAAAAAATAAATAATTCTAAACTTTTATTATCAGGTACTTCCTCACATTTATCGTTCTATTGGCTCGAAACACCTGCCTGTAAAAGATGTCACCCTAATACACCTGGACTCACATCCAGACATGTTGAGCCCTTTAAACTTGCCAGCAGATAGTGTTTATGATAAGCAGAAAGTATTTGAGTAAGTCTAAGAAGTTTTTATATGCATTTGAACCATTTGCAATGTATAGATTTGAAAACTGATTATACTTTTTATCAAATTTTATTTATGCGAGGGATGTCCGGAAAGTTCATTTAGTTCTTCATTTTTATGCCCCCGGGCATATAGTGATTGAACCGTCCGTCCGTCCGTCTGTCCGTACGAGGTTTACCTAGAACGGCAAGTTGGATTTTTCTTAAGTTCTACCTGTACCAATGGCTTCTAAGTTTACACACTTACTAATCAATACAAAGTACACGATCTGGGCAAGTTTCATAACTCTGGCTTTCATATTTACCAAGTTAATGCCCTTTTCAGCACTTAGAAAATGAATAATTGTTAACCTAAAACGGCAAGTTGGAAATATCTTAAGTTCTATCTATACTAATGGCTTTATAATTTCCACACTTACTTATCAATACAAAGCACATGATATTGCCAAGTTATATAACTGTGTCATCCATATTTCCCAGTTATTTCCCTTTTTTATACGCCCGTTTGAAAAACGGGACGTATTATGGGAACGCCCCTGGCGGGCGGTCGGGCGGGCGGCGTCCAATTTTGTCTGGAGCATATCTCCTACATGTATGGAGGGATTTTAATGAAACTTCATAGAAATGTTCACCACTATAAGGAGCAGTGTCACGCACATGAACCAGGTCTCTAGGTCAAAGGTCAAGGTCACACTTAGAGCTCATTGAAAAATGCTTGTCCGGAGCAAAACTTCCACATGTATAGAGGGATTTCAATATTACTTGGCACAAATGTTCACCATTGTGAGGCGGAGTGTCGCGCGCAAGATTCAGGTCCTTGCGGCCAAGGTCAAGGTCACACATAGAGGTCAAAGTTCAGAAAAAAATTTGAAGATGTGTATATGGACGATTTAGTCATCATTTATTGAGGGATTGTAACACAAATGGTCATTATCAAGACTATGGCTGTGATACATATAATTTAGGTCAATATATACAAGGTCAAGGTCACTAAAGATGATGAAATATCCAGATTTTGTCCGGAGCATATCTCCTACACGCATGGAGGGATTTTAATGAAATTTCATAGAAATGTTCACCATTATGTGAAGCCATGTCACGCACATGAACTAGGTCTCTAGGTCAAAGGTCAAGGTCACACTTATAGCTCATTGAAAAACGCTTGTCCTGAGCAAAACTTCCACATGCATAGAGGGATTTCAATATAACTTGGCACAAATGTTCACCATTGTGAGGCGGAGTGTCGCGCACAAAATTCAGGTCCCTGCAGCCAAGGTCAAGGTCACACATAGAGGTCAAAGTTTAGATAAAAATATGAAGATGTGTATAGGGACGATTTAATCATCATTTATTGAGGGATTGTAACACAAATGGTCATTATCATGACTACGGCTGTGACACATGTACTTTAGGTCAATATATGCAAGGTCAAGGTCACTAAAGATGGTGAAATATCCAGATTTTGTCTGGAGCATATCTCCTACATGTATGGAAGAATTTTTATAATACTTTATGGAAATGTTCACACCATGATATGTATTGCTCCATGCATGATCCAGGTCTCCAGGTCAAAGGTCAAGGTCACACTTAGAGCTCATTGAAAAACGCTTGTCCGGAGCAAAACTTCTACATTCATAGGGGGATTTCAATATAACTTGGCACAAATGTTCACCATTGTGAGGCTGAGTGTCGCACGCAAAATTCAGATCCCTGCGACCAAAGTCAAGGTTACACATAGAGGTCAAAGTTCAGATAAAAATTTGAAGATGTGTATAGGGACCATTTAGTCATCATTTATTGATGGATTGTAGCACAAATGGTAACTATCATGACTACAGGTGTGACACATTTAATTTAGGTTAATATTTGCAAGGTCAAGGTCACTGGAGATGATTAAATATCCAGATGTTGTCCGGAGCATATTTTCTACATGCATGGAGGAATTTTAATGTTACTTTATAGAATTGTTCACCACCATGAGACGTAGTGCCCTGCACATGAACCAAGTCTCTAGGTCAAAGGTGAAGGTCACAGTTAGAGCTCATAGAAAAACGCTTGTCTGGAGCAAAACTTCTACATGCATAGAGGGATTTCAATATAATTTGGCACAAATGTTACTCATTGTGAGGCTGAGTGCCGTGCATAAAATTCAGGTCTCTGCGACCAAGGTCAAGGTCACACATCCTGTGCATATCTTCCCTACTGATTTGTTTTAAGGTTCATTTAATTACACAGTGCCAAGAATAAAAACTTGCTTGCTAGATAACACTTATCCATAATGCCCCCATCTCCATCTAAAGCTTTCGTAAACGGGCGTATTTTGTGACTATGGCACCCTTGTTCACTTTGAAAATAGGGCCTTGTCTGGTTAACCTATTTCGGCAAGTTGAATTTATCTTAAATTTCTCCTAATTGCTTAATTTCTTTACTGATATCTTTTATATTTAGTAGGTGGATACCTTTGATGGTCCTCTAATTTTTTTTAGAGTAAGCGGTCTCTAGGGTCAAGGTCAAGGTCACTGGTTTAAAAAATAAATATAAACCTTTTTGCTCATACAGCCTTTATTTTTATGCCCCCGCCATGTAATGGCCGGGGCATATAGTGTTACCCTGTTCTGTCCTTCTGTCCTTCCGTCATTCAGTCATTCTGTCATTCAGTCATCATCAGTTTCCGTTCATTATCTTAGTAACGGTTGCACACATTCAAAATACAGGTCAAGTTCGAATTTGGTCATGGTTCGATGATTTTTGGCAGAGTTATGCCCCTTTCACTTTGAAATAATATGAAATTTTCAGTTTCCGTTCATTATCTCCCCAACGGTACAACACATTCAACTCAAATTTGACATATGGATATATCATGAGAAAATACAGGTCAAGTTTGAATTTGGTCATGGTTCGATGAATTTTGGCAGAGTTATGCCCCTTTCACTTTGAAAATAATATGAAATTTTCAGTTTCTGTTTATTATCTCCAAAACGGTACAACACATTCAACTCAAATTTGACATATGGATATATCATGAGAAAATACAGGTCAAGTTTGAATTTGGTCATGGTTCAATGATTTTTGGCAGAGTAATGCCCCTTTCACTTTGAAAATAATATGAAATTTACAGTTTCTGTTCATTATCTACCCAACAGTGTTACATATTAAACTCAAATTTGACATATGAATATGTCAAAGGAAGGCGCAGGTCAAGTTTAAATTTGGTCATGGTTCGATGATTTTTGGCAGAGTTATGTCCCTTTCACTTTGAAAATAATATAGATACATCTTAGGAATACGCAGTTTAAGTTTGAATTTGGTCATGGTTCAATGATTTTGGACAAACTTATCTTTCTTGAATGTTGGAAAAATTTTGAACTTTCAGTTTCAGCACTCATACTTTTGTGGAAATGTATGTAGCCATTATTTTGGCTACAAATATGAAATATGCTTTTTTCAAAAGGTTAAGACTGAATAATTTCAGTGCCTTGAACATTGTATGAAAATGGTTTGTGTTAACATTGAAAAGTTTTAAGGGCTTTGAACTTAAAATTAAAAAAATAATTTGTGCAAACAAATTTGGAACTAAAATATTATAACATCTGAAATTTTGGCTGCATGCGGGGGCATCCGTGGCATGATGACACATTTCTAGTTTAGTTAATGTCTTAGTTTAATACAAACACCTCCTTCTTTGGGTGTAGTATGGGGTCATTTGGGTCAAGGTCAATGTTACCAATGTCAAGGTCACCAATGTTAAAAATAGATTTTTACATTTTTACAGATGTATTGACCTTATTCTATAGACAGATGTTATTTATAATTGACAGAAACATAAACTTTGATGGAGTTAGTTGTCAGTTGGGTCAAGGTCACCAGTGCTAAAAATAGATTTTAACACATTTGCTCATTCAGCCTTTATTAAGTGACAGATATATTTTATATTTGGTAGGAAGATAACTTGCATGGTATTCATCCTTCTGATTGGGGTAGGGATCAGTGGGTCAAGGTCACTTGTGCTAAAAATAGATTCTTACACTTTTGCCCATACAGCTTTTATTTATTGACAGTTGTATTTCATATTTGGTAGGAAGATAACTTGCATGGTATTCTTCCTTTGGATGGAGTAAGGGGTCAGTTGGGTCAAGGTCACAAGTGCTAAAAATAGATTTTTACACTTTTGCCCATACAGCCTTTATTTATTGACAGATGTATTTCATATTTGCTAGGAAGATAACTTACATGGTATTCTTCTTTTGGATAGAGTTAGGGGTCAGTTTGGTCAAGGTCACCAGTGCTCAAAATAGATTTTTACACTTTTGCCCATACAGCCTTTATTTAATGACAGATGTATTTCGTATTTGGTAGGAAAATATTTTTCAACTTCACAAGTCAGAGCAATGACTTGGCAACTTATATTTTTCACAATTACAAAATGCCATGACTTTGTCAAGCTATAAAACTTGTGTTTACAATTTCTAGGTGATTTTTCTGTCCATAACTGAGTGAATGGGTAAACATTTATGAAGTATTGCTACTGACAAGAATCTGAGCCGGGGGCATTTGTGTTTAACAAACACGTTCTTGTTTATTATATAACAATACATACGTTGTACGAATTTTGTCAGCAAAAATATACATATCTAGCAAACACATTCATCAAAAATTACTGAACTGTGACTAACGTTTGTATTCTGACAGTAATTACATACAACATATATATATCATGATGAAGCACTTTGACAACGTCAACGGCGTCAAATTAACTTCATGTTTACCCGCTTTTCAATTTCTTCCGATTTCAATTTCTTCCGATTTCAACAGCCATGGTACATGTCTGGTGTATTCTTAATATATGTTGTGTTGCTTTTACTTTAAGAATTTCATATTTAAAATTATTATTTAAAAACAAAAATGTCACTGGTTCCCATACTGTGTGTGAGATGTCTGTCTATTTCAAAGGTTGTTGTAACACAATATACGATATCTCGCCCATGCTACCTTTACGCGTCTGGGGCGTTTCTTATACGATATACTGCCATCGCCGCTTCTTAATCTTGTTTGACATTTAAACACAAGTTGCCTTTAACATTTTACGGTTGGTTTTGTTTTTAAAGTAAAGATTAAAATCTCAGCTGGTGCCATATTAGTGTTGCTATGTAGTTAAATATCATTAGGTTGCTCCGTCCATAAATTCAACGGCATTTTTGCAACACAAAATTTATACACCTTCATTGCCTATAATCGTCGTTAACAAGCTGTTTATTTGTGTATGACGTCATAATTTTCACTAAATATCATGTATTAGTATCTCATGATGTCACACAATTAAAACGAGAGTTAGCGTTAAAATTACAACTTTTAGCAACTTATTACTCAAGTAGCTATCGACATGAAATCAAAGTGCTCCGTGATTCGTTGATAATGTTGCCATGGTGATCTGCGCTTTGCAAATAGTACTGTTATGGTGTTTTTTAATTTAGAAATATGTAGCAAATAAATACTTTAGCAAAACATTCAAACTTCATATTGATAATGTCTGTTTATAGTAATTTAATAGTCTTGTCTACGAACTTTCCGGACAACCCTCGTAGTAAGCATTTTACCAGCTTATTTGTATTACAATAATTAGTACTCATTTTAGTAACATTTTGGATAATTGGCTAGTGTGATTACTACTGTCCACTATGTGTTTCATGTCTCAGGGCCCTCATTTTAGAGCTGAATGTCCCTCATTTTTTCTGTTTATTTTTTTTTTTTAAAAATCCTTTTTTTTACCTTGTCTGTTTGGATGAAAGATAAGCTTGATTATGAATGCAAAAACTTTACTATAGCCCATTACTCGAACACTTCAAAAGTAATCAACATGAAACTTTGAATACTTTCTTAAGCCTTGTCATGACAAGGTACATTTGTTAGAGAAAATGCGTGATACTGAAAGCTATATTAATGGAACCCCTTTTTAACTTAGAATTTTTATTAAAATTGCAAAATTGCCATTGACAGACACTGCCCATGGTGTTCTTGTATTTTTCCTTACTTTATCTGCTTAAAGCAGGAAACCCTTAACGATAATCTTATTGAAATATGCTTATTGCAAAATGGAATACATAATGCTTAACATTATGAGGAGTGTTGCTGTTAGACAAAATTCCTCTTTTTCTTCAAAACAATGCAAAATTCTCCTTCCTAAGGACCCCAGACCCTAATACCCAATTGTAGGATTCAAGCTTATTATAATTTTTAACTTCTGACCGGTCTCCAATCCCAGTAATATATTTTTATGTTTTATGTTGCTATCTGTTAAGGTCATTGAGCATCGAGAATTGGATATTACCAGCAGTTTATGCAGGACACATCTCTCACGTTTTATGGATAAAGCCGCCATGGTGCTCTCAGGTTGAGGATAAACAACTGCAGTTCTTTGTTGGGAAATGTCCAAAAACTGGAACAATAAGGTACCTTATTTTACTTCTTACTTAAACATCCACAATTGTGAATACTTCTAGTTTTAAACATAATACATTGAAAATTTTCTAATTTATAATGTAGGTTTGTAGGTTTACTATATGATACTAAAGGCCAGTATTTTGTATTTTTCTACCATTGAAAAATATGTTATATTTTCGCAAGATTATGATTAATGCAGTACAATTTGTAGAATAATTTTTAAGAAACAAAAATTTGTAATCGGTTAAAGGGCATTTTCTGTGTTATTTTAAGGACAACTTGTACTGAGAGTTACTTCGTTAGCGAGACATTGTATGTACCAGAGAGTCAGCTTCTAAACAAACAACTACTAACCTTTTCTATATTCACACTGAAACCAACAGACTGGGTTGATAATGAAGAGGTTAATGAGGTCAAAAAACACTCAAATGAACATAAACTAGATACCCAAACGAGAACAACAAAAGCTCAAGAATATTGTGATGGTGTACATAGTGATACTGGTACGGACAACAAACCGAGTGGGATGAAAAGGCAAAATAGTGATGAAAACATAAATAACAGTGCTCAATTTCCAGAACATTTAGGCAAAGATTTAGATAATAAATCAAAACGGCAAAAATGTGACAGCAGTGAAAAAAGTGAACATGGTGCTGCAAATGCAGATAAAGGGAAGCAATTCTGCTCACCTTCGACAAACAGCTTATCAGAGTTAGCTTCCCTTTTAAAGGGACAGAACTATGTGTTAGATATAGATTTAGATTTTTATTCCACAATGAATCCATTCAGAAATATGTATGGAGACAAACAGTATGATATTCTTCAGGAGCTGTATAAATTTGAAAAACCAGCTACTGATTCACAAAAGGTTTGTATATAATATCACCCTACTTTATTGAATTTGTTTCTGAAATGATTTTAGCTTATAAGTCTCACTGGTGTTGAAAGATAGAAACTGCAGTGTTCCAGTTAACATCCAGTTATTTGCCATACATCATTGATTTTTATGCCCCAGCTCTCAGTCTTTATACTGACAACACAGCGGAATGTGAATCTTGACAGAATAATGGCCCTTTTTGAATCTCTACACTATCCCAGCTTTTGTTTTACTATCAAGCACAGCTGCACTGAGAAAAGGTTACGTAGAGTGTGCTGTCCTACTGACAGATCTTGGTTTTTATGGGGGGAGGGGTTTCACAAGTTACCAGAAATTTCTGAAAATAATCGGTAAGCATCTGAAAGCAGAACAACAAGAATCAATGTTATTTGTTTTTAAAAGCCATTTTTGTATCAAATTTATTGGGAAAAGTTTTTAAACTGATTATTTCAGTATTTTATATAAGACATTGAAACATGTGTTTTGGTATATTTTATATAGGATGTTGAAAAATGTGTATCAAACAGACAGAAACAATTAGATGACTTAAAGCAGGTGTTTTCTTTTCTAGAGAAAGATGAAAAAGCAGAAATCAAACATTCCAGGTACTGTATGTGTAGAAATATTTGCGGGCTTCAAATTTTCGCGATCTTCGCGGTGACATTCGATCCGCGAATTCATGTTCAGCGCGAATATTTCTACACCAATAATTTCTTAATAGTCATGTTTTCGCGCATCTTTTAAACAATGTATATCAGTGTGTTCACGGCTGCTATAAGTCTGGTATCCGTGGCGCTTTTAAAGAGTGATTTTACTGTTCTGCTCTGTATATAAATCAGTTTGCTAGTGTATTATCGTTTGACTGATATGATTATTCTGATTCTTGTATAAGTATACACATGCTTGAACAATACCATTGCATCACGCTATTTATTTCATAGTCAATGTTATAAATGTCTTTATATCTGATCAGATTATATTTTGTTGTTGTAAAAAAACAATACAAATAACACAAACATTAACGATTTTGACTGATGAAAACATGGAAAACAAAACACACTCACATTCCGTGCTGTTTAAAACTATGAAAAATCACGCACGTTAACGGACATTCTTTTGTTTGCCATAATCTGTCCCCTAGACAAATTGAATGTCTTTGTTCTGTACAATAGCGTATTGTTTGACATCAGGTGTTGAAAATAACTGTGAAGTCCCACAATGATTACAGTAAAAAGTATGTTACATGAAGGAAGACTTCTTGCGAAAACCATATTGCCTAATCGTCAAAGAGTAATTTTTTAACCTGATCGGTGTACGCGAATTTATGATTTTCAGCAGTCACCTCCGCGAATTCAAAATAGCGCGAATAATTGTATAGACCCCCAAAATGGACCTTTCCGCGAAAATTTGCTTCCGCGAATTTAAATACATATACAGTATTTAATCATAGTTGAAGCCTTATTTTAGTCTAGTACTTGATATGAAAATGTTAGGGTCTCTGTGGTCCAGAGGTTTAATAACTCGTCTTTAAATCAATTGCCCTTCTCTTCTGTGGGTTGCCTAGCTGGGACTTTGGTATCATTCAGATTGTTGGTTTTACTGCTTGTACATGAAATAAGGCATGAATGAGCCCTTTCTTCCATTAGTAAAGCTTGAAAGGCTAATTTCACAGTGTATGATTATACAATTCATGTAGGTATATTTTTGTATGGCTTAACTGAAAATTCTACATCATTCAGGCTAAGCACTGAGCAATGGTGTCCCACCGACAGCTCTTGTAATTATTGTGATCATTTTTCTCCTGCATTAGGGTGAATTTATTTTTCTCCTCTGCAGCAATTAATGATCATAATTATCTGCAATATGGTGCTTTGTATGTAATGAAATTAAAATTCTCTAAAAGTGGCAATGATCACTGATTACAGTCTATGTTAAAAATGATGGATTATTGGGTTGAATGATTTTTTTTTCATTGTACCCCTTTACAATTACTACATGCTGACCTCACTGTAATCTTTTTTTATGTTATCCTTTTTTATATAAGTATATAATATCAATATAATATTATTTTGCAGGGCTGAACTTATACGGACATTAATTTCAGATTTAAAGGCTACAGGTTCAAAGATAGATTACGAGCTGTTACACGAGGCAGGTTGCACATGTGACGATACAGAGTTACCTCATCATATCAGCTCTAACTCTCAGATTACCTCCCTTGTTGACAGCACTCAAGACATGTTGTCTTATCTCCCCAAACCAACTCTCATAACAATTGCAAGGTAACACACATTTTATATCATATTGTTATACCCCATGGAAATTTTAAGTTTGGGGACATAATGGCATGTCAAAATTAAGAAAAAAGAAATTTTTTGATTGGATACATTATAACCTTATGTATGTCCATTTCTTTTTGTCATATTAAATATGTTTATTATGCATTAAAAGTAAATTTTAGAGCAGAACTCTATTAGAATAAACAATCTTATTAAAAAAATTATGAGTTGTTAGGTGTAATAAAACACATGTCAAAATATTTTTGGATTATTATAGAATTCTAATCAACATATGGTAGTGTTGGAAAATATATGTACAAAGGCCCATTATATGTTAAAAATGCTTTTATTTCTCAAAAGCTTTTTAATTTTGATGTTCTTTTATACTATCCAAAAAGTTACTCATTGGCCAATTACCTGAACCATTTTTCTTCTGTTGCTTTTTGGCAATAAGTAGAGTGACAGTGAATTAGTATTTTGTATGGATGTCAAAGTAATAGTTTTGTTTTCATTTTGCTACTTTTATGAAAGTTACTTCATATTTATCAGTACTTTCTTCCAGTATCAAGAATCTAAGATTCTTAAAAACAGTTATTTAAACATTATAAAATTCATGTTTACACTTTTTAAGAAGTAAAAATTAATTTATTTCTGCGGCATAATGTAGCTATAAACTAAATTTTTGTTATGTATACTCATTTTGTATTTCAAATGAATTTCAGGTCCAGCTCGGATGACTATTGTCCACCTAATCAAGTTGATATGATACAAGACAGTGTTCTCACCATGTTACAGGAACTTTATTTAGAAATCTCAGTCAATATGGCTTATAAAGACACTGATGAAGATGATGTGTGATGATAAGTTAAATAGACATTGGCCCCCTAGGACATTTGCACCCTGCTGTATAAGTGAATCACTGGACATTTACCTTGCCCACTCCCTGTCCTAATGAAAATGTAAAGGTGGATATTTGCATTTACCTGCCCCACTCACATATTGGAAATTTGCTTAATGAAAATTAAAAGCATATGTATAAATTATACTGCATTTATTTCAATAATAGTGCATTGATTGTTCAACTTGCATTTTTTTATTAAAACATAACCTAAAGACTGCATTTGACATTCATTTAGAAAATTTCCAAACTGGGTGGAAAGTATCCACCTTTACTTTTCCACCAAGGCGAGTGGGTGGGTAAATGTCAAATGATGCAGTTTAATATTGGGGGCAAATATCCCCGAGCTATCGGGCTGTTAAAAAAATATAGGAACTGTATTTCTATTTTGTTAAAAAGTGTTACTTTTTTTAATAAAAGTTTGATGTGAAACTTACTTTCTCATTCATATTTTAACGTCTTCATTTGCAAGTTCAGATATTTTTGTTATATTCAGCTTGGTAGACTCATTGTGGCTTTTGTTTTACAAATCAAACCTTGAGAATAGTCACAGAGATACATTATGTAACGGTTTATTTACATGTATATATATAATCTTTATTTAATAGGACATGCTATTTCTAGATAACTTTTAAAAGATTTGATGCATAATCAGAATTTTTTTTAAGAAGTTTTGCTGCCATGGATCTTATACATTTGTATATGTGAATCAAAAGAAGTGAATAAGAAGTGTGTGTACATGTTTATAGATGTATTTATGAAAACATACAAATATGTGTGAGATTTACAAACATGTGCTTCCACTGTGTAATGACTTAAGATATAAATCTCTGTTGATTACATGAATCTACCATTTTAGCAGTGAAAAATTTGACACAGGTTAGCTGCTCACAAACAGTATCACAAATACAATGTAAAACTATGTATTCTTTTGTGTAAACCAGGTCAACCAATGACTATCTATTATCCAAGTGAAGCAATTGAGTTAGCTAATCAGCTGATTTGCATAAAACTGTAAACACTGGTAAGGTCCATTTTGCCTATCATGCAAACAAGAAATTATGGTCACTTCTCAGAATTTCTTTGTTGTTGAACTTGTCACCCGCTTATCCCTCTGGAATAGTTATAAATGTTATCCAGCTAGCTTACGGAACATTGGTGGTTCTACTCGGGTGCTTGTTCGTGCCTGAATAATGCACAGAGGTGCACCTGAGGTCTTCCTCCATCAATAAAGCTGGAAAGTTGCCATACTGTGTTGGTGCGACGTAAAACCCAATCACTTCAGCACAAAGTGCTGTGAGGAGAGCATTTATGTTTGCAAGTTGTTATTCTCCACAGCATCATCTCCTAAACCACATGTTTGATTTTGACCAAACTTCAATGGTATGACCTTACAAAAGTTATATAAACTTTTCCAGTCTGATGCACAAGCAAATGTTTACAGCAAAATATTCTTGCAAAAAGCATGAATTTCATGCATATAAGCACTTCAACAAAGACAAACAACAAACTTTCTGTTATTCAAATAATATTTTCAAAAACATGATACATAATAACTCATGAATGACCACATTCTAGAACTAAGACATCACGTCCCATCAAGTCTTACGTTTCTGGTTCATGCCCTTTTTCTTCTTTTTCGAAGATTCATCTACAAAAAAAATATCACAATTAACTTTATCCTAACATTATATTAACAATTATCACTTGTTCTGTACATGGTTTTGTTGAACTTCAACTTAAAACTGAAATCATTGTATCTACATTTATCTAGATGACCTTGATCAGTGAGGTTTTCCTTCAGAAGCAAGCCAAATACATCTACTAAACATACATTAAGCAAACTGAACCACAAATTTTATTTCATTTCCTCAAATTTCTAAGTCACAAGTTGAAAACTTTTTTCCCCCACATTTTAGCCACAGTGATTGTGACACTACATGTACTTAATCTACAGCTTTCATAATACATGTACATTTTATCTCCATAACACTCTATAGGAGTATAAAACAATTTTCTATTTTGCCACGGAGACCTTGACCTTTAAACTTTAAATTTATACATTTTATTTGAAATATACTATATACCAAAATAATTTTCATATCTCACTGTGCTTGTGGATTTTAGACATGATTTTCACAACAAGAGGGCCATGATGGCCCTGAGGTCGCTCACCTGTATATAGCCCCCCCCTCCTACCCCGGGCCAATTTTTACCCAAGGGCTTTTATTTGTTTATTTGAACAGACTTGGTAGACACCCATAAGAAGATGTTTCATGCTAAACATCTAAGTTCTAGCTCATTGGGTTTTTTAAAAGAAGATTTTTTAAGTTTTTACTATACACATATAGTTAAAAACAATGACACCCCTGGGGCAGGGGTAGTTTTGACCCCCAGGCTTTTATTTGAACAAACTTTGTAGATATTTACTTAAAGATGTTTCATGCTTAATATCTAAACTCTAGCTATTTGGGTTTTTTCAAAGAAGATTTTTAAGTTTTTGCTATACACATATAAGGAAAATCAATGACCCCCTGGGGCGGGGCCAATTTTGACCCCAGGGCTTTTATTTTAACAAACTTGGTAGACACTCATTAGAAGACGTTTCATGCTAAATTTCTTAGCTCTAGCTCTTTGGGTTCTTTAATAGAAAATTTTTAAGTTTTTACTATATGCATATAGGACAAATCTATGACCCCCTGGGGCGGGGTCAATTTTGACCCCAGGGCTTTTATTTGAACAAACTTGGTAGACATTCACTAGAAGATGTTTCATGCCAAATATCTAAGCTCTAGCTCTTATGGTTCTTTAAAAGAAGATTTTTTAAGTTTTTACTATATGCATATAGGGAAAATCAATGACCCCCGGGGCGGGGCCAATTTTGACCCGAGGGCTTTAATTTGAACAAACGTGGTAGACACTCACTAGAAGATGTTTCATGCTTAATATCTTAGCTCTAGCTCTTTGGGTTCTTTAAAATAAGATTTTTTAAGCTTTTACTATATGCATATAGGGAAAATCAATGACCCCCTGGGGCCGGGCCAATTTTGACCCCAGGGCTTTTATTCGAACAAACTTTGTAGATATTCACTAGAAGATGTTTCGTGCCAAATATCTAAGCTCTAGCTCTTAGGGTTCTTTAAAAGAAGATTTTTTAAGGTTTTACTATATGCATATAGGGAAAATCAATGACCCCCGGGGCGGGGCCAATTTTGACCCCAGGGCTTTTATTTGAACAAACTTGGTAGACATTCACTAGAAGATGTTTCATGCCAAATATCTAAGCTCTAGTTCTTATGGTTCTTTAAAAGAAGATTTATTAAGTTTTTACTATATGCATATAGGGAAAATCAGGCGGGGCCAATTTTGACCCCAGGGCTTTTATTTGAACAAACTTGGTAGACATTCACTAGAAGCTGTTTCATGCCAAATATCTAAGCTCTAGCTCTTATGGTTCTTTAAAAGAAGATTTTTTAAGGTTTTACTAATATGCATATAGGGAAAATCAATGACCCCCCGGGGCGGGGCCAATTTTGACCCCAGGGCTTTTATTTGAACAAACTTGGTAGACACTCACTAGAAGATGTTTCATGCCAAATATCTTAGCTCTAGCTCTTTGGGTTCTTTAAAAGAAGATTTTTTAAGTTTTTACTATATGCATATAGGGAAAATCAATGACCCCCTGGGGCGGGGCCAATTTTGACCCAAGGGCTTTTATTTGAACAAACTTGGTAGACACCCACTAGAAGATGTTTCATGCCAAATATCTAAGCTCTAGCTCTTAGGGTTGTTTAAAAGAAGATATTTAAAGATTTTTCTTTCGGTTGCCATGGCAACCAGAGTTCTGCATGGAATTAAATTCTTTGAACAATTTTCAAAGGTGACCACCAAAGGAACATTCCTGTGAAGTTTGGATGAAATTGGCTCAGTGGTTAATGAGGAGATGTCATTTAAAGCAAAAGTTTACGGACGGACGGACGACGGACGGACGGACGCCGGACGAAAAGCGATCACAAAAGCTCACCCTGTCACTTTGTGACAGGTGAGCTAAAAACATGGAAAGCCAACAGTTAAGCTTATATCTTCATGACTCAAATTTTCAATGGCAAAGATATGAAAATCTTAAAATTTAATCTACATGAAATAACTAAGGCTGTACTGGAACTTAGCAGAATTATGCTGATGCATTTTTATTAGTAACAAATTTAGGCTGAAAACTTAAACAAATTATGACCACATTACAAAGTTGATTTGATAATAAATGCAATGCTGACACAAAAACTCAATTGCTTAGTAATGCATGAATACCCGGAGCACACTAAAGATATACATTTTTTCTAGAACTTGTAATCTAGATTTTGAGCAGTAGTGTTTTCTACATTGTATCACATCTCCCAAGAAACAACAAAATATTACAACATTATTATAACATTATTTCCTATGATTTTAAGCTTTGTTGCAGCATTTGTTTATTTTTGTTGTCCAAATCAATAGTAGCTCCAAGAAAAAGGTGCTAAAACAATGACAACTATAGGTGAAGTTAAAATAAAGAGTGATACTGACTTTAATTTTTACTCAGAAAGTCACCTGCGCTGAAAATGATAAGATCATTAAAAAACTTTGTATGTATGATTTATTTTTTTTACAAACTTTTAGGACGGCCTTGAATATATTATTTATTAACATTGCATACCTGTATGAAGAACATCTTGGAACATTTTACGTTTCCTCTGATCATTTTGTTGAATAGATTGCCAGTCCTTGCGTCTCTTTGTGAAATGAAATAGAGCAAAGTTCCGGTGTATATGGAAACCTATTCTATCTGAACGTATTCTGTCTTCTTGTACACACAGGCATGTGGCAATCATTTCTTTCTGTTTCATAGAAGTATTTCTCCAAATAGATTCCAGGGCACGGCTACCATTCTTGTCACACGCCAAAGATACATAATGATCCTAAAAATAAAGGTGTGGGATACCATGAACTATTCCTTATAAAAATAATTCTAACAACTAATCCTAAAAATATATTTTTTTTACATTGCAAACTGACCTTCGATTAGATATATTTATTTAGTGAAGTTTCCAGGTGTCGTGCAAATTTGTACTTAAAGTGAAGAAAGAATATTTAAACTAGCACAAAGAATTTTTTTTAACTTTTGCCCATTAAAAAGAATAATGAATAAAACAAATGGATGAAAGTAAGTTTAGGCTGTCACTATCCTACATTTTGAGTTATCTGCCCCTGACAGTGAATGAATTGCTTTTCAGTAAGAGAAAAGCAATAATAACAAGCAATTATCATAGTATTGCAAGCAATCCATAAGTCCCCTACCGGTAAGAGCCCAAGCAACATTCTGAAGGGCCATTGGCCATTCACTTATGTTTCAATTTTAAGTAAATTTGTTGAAAAAGTTCGGAAACAGTTTTTATGTAC